CAATTTAGAAGAAGTTTTGCACTTAAAGGACTATCAGCCTATGCCCCCATAGCAAGAAATCCCCTCTACTATAGACAAAACTGTTCACCCCCTCTACTATAGACAAAACTTTTGACATCTGGTCTATGAAAGGTCTTAAGATATTAAAAGATATGTTTATTGATGGGCAATTTGCTTCATTCCAACAAGTAAAAGTTAAGTTTCAAATTCCAAATTCCCACTTCTTTAGATACCTCCAGCTGCGAAGTTTTGTGTCCTCCTCAATGAGTCACTATCCCTCACTGCCTCCCCCCTCCCTGCTTGACTCTATTATGGAGCTAAGCCCATACTCAAAAGGACTTATTGGCAAAATATATTCTATAATTAATTCCCACAATCTGGAACCCCTAGTAAAATTAAAAAGAAAATGGGAGGTGGAGCTAGAGATAGAACTATCAGAAGATATGTGGCAATCCGTTTTAGACAATATCCACTCATCTTCAATTTGTTTAAAACAAAGAGTTATACAATTTAAAGTAGTACATAGATTACATTGGTCCAAAGTGAAACTAGCCAAATTTAAACCAAATATAGACCCTAACTGTGACCGGTGTAACATTGAGCCAGCTACTTTATCTCATATGTTTTGGGCTTGTTCAAAATTAAAGAAATTCTTGCAGCTAATATTTAAATTCCTCTCGGACGCATTAAATACCTATGTAGAACCTGAGGCCATAATTTCAATTTTTGGAATCACACCACAGTCCTTATGTTTTAACAAAAGCAAGATAAATGTGATTGCCTTTGCTACGCTTTTAGCTAGAAGATTAATATTGCTGAAATGGAAGGAAAAACTTCCTCCAAACTTTAAGCAATGGCTTATGGAACTTCTACACCACCTGACCGTAGAAAAAATACGATACACTTTAGGAGGCTGTACTGATATGTTTTTTCTCACCTGGCAACCTGTTTTAGATCACGTAAAAAAGATGGACCCCTCAGTCATTTTAGAAGAGTAGAACCTTTCCTTGTTTGTTTGTTGTTGTTGTTTTTTTTTTTTCTTTTCTCTTCAATTTTTTGTATTTTCTTTTTTCTCCCCTTATTAATGAGAGTAACATATGTTTTACTTATTATTACTATTTATTTGTATTTTTTCTTAATATTATTTATTTATTTTTTTTCTAGAACCTAAATGTATGTGCGGCAGGTTTTGTTTGTTTGTTGTGTAAAAAAAAAAAAAAAAAAATTGAAAAGCTATTTTGTAATGTATGTTTCATATCTAATATGTTCAATAAAAATACTTTTGGAAGTAGGCCCACACGGAATCTGCATGCGCAGAATTCCGCAGATTTGAAGCCCATCATTAATTTAGTTTTTTACTTGAGTAAATGTGTGTAAATGAATATTTATTCAGTTTGTTTATTAATTTCAGTAATATTATTGACTAATATGAAAATGTTCATCTGATTGATGTACAATGCAGTTTGTAAAGTCATATTTTCCGTCTTTTAGTAGAGATATTATATGAGAGACTTGCTTTGTTTACCAAATAAAGGGAATCTAATTGGATTAGCATTTTAATTATTAAATAAAAGTTATAAAGATTTTTTATTTCATATATTAAGGTTTTAGTTATGATACTGCCAGAATAATTACGCAGAAATTGCAAAAAATCTCCGCAGATTCCGTCCGGCCCTACTGCTAAGTGATCTTACACCAAAACTCCACCTGTTAATGTCAGTTGTTTATATATGCTGAAGTCAGGGAAATGTATGTGAGTTGCGAACCTCTTGAATGTAATTCTTGTATTGTATTGGGGTAGCATAACCCAGAGCTCTGTCATCGAATTATTCATTTTTTATTAAATTACTAATATTAGTGATATTCATTTTTTATTATTCATTTTTGATTAAATTACTAATATTAGTGATATTCATTTTTTATTATTCATTTTTTATTAAATTACTAATATTAGTGATATTCATTTTTTATTATTCATTTTTTATTAAATTACTAATATTAGTGATATTCATTTTTTATTATTCATTTTTTATTAAATTACTAATATTAGTGATATTCATTTTTTATTATTCATTTTTTATTAAATTACTAATATTAGTGATATTCATTTTTTATTATTCATTTTTTATTAAATTACTAATATTAGTGATATTCATTTTTTATTATTCATTTTTTATTAAATTACTAATATTAGTGATATTCATTTTTTATTATTCATTTTTTATTAAATTACTAATATTAGTGATATTCATTTTTTATTATTCATTTTTTATTAAATTACTAATATTAGTGATATTCATTTTTTATTATTCATTTTTTATTAAATTACTAATATTAGTAATTTATAATTACTAATAATTATAAATTACTAATACTTTGGCATAGAAGAAAACCCTCTCCTGATCTTTTTTTATTGAACACGCATGGAATTTGCTTACATTCCAACAACATACACAAATACACTTCATTAAACATGTACACATAGACATCACCCATATGCTAAAAAACTGCATGTTAACTGTCTGTATATAATAATTTATATTTGATTGTAGCTTAATTTGGCTGTAATGCAGTAATGTGGCACCTTTTGTAAAGCTGCTTTAAAGCAACGATTATTGTAAAAATTGATATATATATATATAATATTATATAGAATATTCAAGTTCATATATATATATATATATATGAACTTGAATTCAATTAAGTTGAATTCACACTGTTGCTTATTTGCCTCATGTTTTAGTTGTCGATCAGACAGAATGAGCTTTTCCTCTCTGGGAACGCAAGGCGCGCCTCACCACCTTTTATTGTTGACAAGAAAAAAAGAAGTGTGCTGTGATTTTTATGTTGCTAAGCAACCACTGAATCAGCTGCATCTTGTTTTTTTGATTGGACAATGAGGACACCTATTCATTGTACATATCGCTGTCAATTTTACATTGTCGTATTTCATGTCTGTATTTTGCACTGTCGTTGTATTTGCACTATTTGTATTTTGTACTGTCTGGATCCAGCACCTAATCTTCATCATAGCGAACGTGCTGCTGATGATGTGACAATAAAAGTGATTTGATTCGATTAGAAAGACACAAGGCGTAGTGTGCTTACCCGCTCTGAATCCTGAACATCACATTCATTCATTCATTTAAATTTTGGCTTAGTCCCTTTATTAATCTGAGGTCGTCACAGTGGAATGAACCGCCAATTTATCCAGCATATGTTTTACACAGCTGTTGCCCTTCCAGCTGCAACCCATCACTGGGAAATATCCATACACACTCATTCACACTCATACACTATGGACAATTTAGCCTAACCAATTCACCTGTACAGCATGTGTTTGGACTGTGGGGGAAACCGAAGCACCCTGGAGGAAACCCACGCCAACACGGGGAGAACATGCAAACTCCACACAGAAATGCCAACTGACCCAGTCAGGACTCGAACCAGCGACCTTCTTGCTGTGAGGTGATTGTGCTACTCACTGTGCCACCGTGACGCCCCAACATCACAATATTGCAGGGCGCACCCTTATAGACAGGGTGAGGAGCTCTGACACTCGGGAGTAGAGCGGCTGCTTCTCCACATTCAGAGAAGTCAGCTGAGGGGGCTCGGGCATCTGTTTCGGATGCCTCCTGGATGCCTACCTAGGGAAGTGTTCTTGGCATGTCCCACCAGGAGGAAGCCTCAGGGAAGACTCAGGACACACTTGAGGGAACACCTCGGGATCGCCCCAGAGGAGCTGGAGGAAGTGTCAAGGGAGAGGAAAGTCTGGGGTTCTCTCCCGAGACTGCTGCCTCTGTGACCCGGCCCCGGATAAGCAGAGGAATTACAATTATCACAATACCAACAGCAGCACTCGTGGACAATACACAGCTGATTCAGTGCTCGCTTAGCAATATTAAAAGCACAGCGCACTTCTTTTTGTCTTGTAAACAGTAATAGGCAGTTCGATGCACCTTGATCCATAAGGGCAGACGGAGGGAGATAGGCCAGGTCACCGGGGTTACACCCCTGCTCTTTACCAGAAGTGCCATGGGATTATTAATGACCCCAGAGAGTCAGGACCTCGGTTTAACGATACTCTCTGACAGTTTAGTGTCCCCTTCACTATACTGGGGCATTAGGACTTGCAAAAAAACACAGGTTGAGCGCCCCCTGCTGGCCTCACTAACACCACGGCCAACAGCAGCCTAGTTTTCTCATGTGGTCTCCCATCCAGGTACTGACCAGGCTCAGCCCCGCTTAGCTTCAGTGAGTAACCGCTCTTGGAGAAACATCACCATTCATGACGAATGCTTCACAGTTCTGCAATATATTCGGTAAAAAGTGATTTAACGTGAAGTTTGGCCAAAAAAAGGGCAATAGCAGTGTTTGCTGTAGTAGTGACCATGTTTTTGTCTTTTGCGATTCTGTTTGATGCCGCTGTGCGGTGCTGCAGGCTTAACCTGTCTGTTGCACTTTGTTTTATACATGTTCTAGGAGTGTTCACACCTTAAATAATTAGATAATTAGAATTATAATAGTTCATTTAAAAATGAAAGATTAGCTGTCAGTGCTGGTCAGGTGTGCTTCAGTGTGAGTGTGTGTTTGATGCTTCTGTCAGTCTGTGTCGCTCCTGTCGCTGTTCATCTAAAACTCCACATCTATAATCCTCTTAGTCTATGCTGACATCATCTTCAGCAGCTCAAACACTCTAATGGCTAATGGACAGACGGCTGCTTCTCACTCAGGGCTGATGCTTATGCTAATGAAATGGGCACTAGTGGGCGGGGCTTTCCCCCTCTTATTAAAGGAAGAATGTCAATCAAAGTGCTTCATTCATCATGTCTGATTATAACAATCACAATTAATTCATGTTGAGCATTAGAGGCTGGAGATACTCACACACTGCTGACACACACTACTGGGGTTAAACCCCACACAAAAGGGATTTCTGCATTAGAGCTGCCCTTTAAAGCCTGATATTTGAGTGTTGATGTGTGTGTGTGTGTTCTGACCTTTGTCCGCCCAGGCCCGCAGTGGACTCTCGTCATCAATAATGTGGTAGAAAGTGAGCGGCAGGATGAGGAAGGGGCTCTCGCTGGCCGTGTCCACACTGAACGACACGTTTTTCTGGTCCAGACGCACCGTTTCGCCCGCCTTCGGCACACACGGCTGTAAGAGCTTCCCCGTCACCTGCAGAAATCACATTAGCTTCATCAATCCACACAAGTCCTTCAATAATCACTCAGAGGTAAGTAAGTCATGTGTATTTATATAACACATATGGCCGTACACCCAAAGCGCCTCACAATCATGAGGGGGGTCTCTACACACCACCGCCAGTGTGCAGCTCTACTTAGATGATGCTCCAGCAGCCACAGGACAACGGCGCCAGTGCACTCACCACACACCAGCTATAGGTGGAGTGGAGAGACAGTGATAGAGCCAGTTCAGTGGATGGGGATGATTGGGAGGTGATGATCGTGAGGGCTGATGGAGGGAGTGTGGCCAGCGCCCCCTGCTGGCCTCACTAACACCACTTCCAACAGCAGCCTAGTTCTCACATGTGGTCTTCCATACAGGTGCTGACCAGCTCTGCTTAGCTTCAGTGAGTACCCGCTCTTGGGCTGCAGGGTGATATGGCTGTGGTGCTTCGGATTCTTTAAAACACTGATTAAAAATGCTGTTTTCACTGCTTTTCTTACTAAAGTGCTTAAAAATGGATCTTCTATCGCATGTTTGGGTGTAAATGTAGAGGATTACTGACCTGGCAACCCAGCAGGAGGCTCTTCCGCATGTTTGCCACTCGGATCATGAGACTCGGCCGGCCGTCGTGATTGGCTATTACAGCATGCTGACTGAAGCGAATCGTCTCGCCGCGCTTTTTCGGTCGAGCCACCTGAAGAGAAGAAGAAGCAGGTGAACAATTCAGTTCAAAATACCCTCATTTCAACACTCATTATTGCATTACAGTGGCGGGTGTCCATCAGCCTGTGTTAATTCATGCACATTATGAAGAATTGCATGTGAAACTGTGTGTGTGACAGCACGGTGGCTCAGTGGTTAGCACTGTGGCCTAACAGTGAGACGTTCGCTGGTTTGAGTCTCGTTTGGGTCAGTTGGTGTTTCTGCGTGGAGTTTGCATGTTCTCCCTGTGTTGGCGTGGGTTTCCTCCGGGTGCTCCGGTTTCCCCCACAGTCCAAACACATGCACTATAGGGGAACTGATCAACTAAACTGACCATAGTGTATGAGTGTGTGTGTGAATGAGTTTCTATGGGTGTTTCCCAGGACTGGGTTTGCTGCTGAATGGGCATCCGCTGTATAAAACATGCTGGATAAGTTGGTGGTTCATTCCACTGTGGCAACCCCTGATATATAAGCTACTAAGCTGAAGGAAAATGAATGAATGAATGATGTGTGTGTGTGTGTGTGTGTGTGTGTGTGTGTGTGTGTGTGTGTGTGTGTGTGTGTGTTGTGTGTGTGTGTGTGTGTGTGTGTGTGTGTGTGTGTGTGTGTGTGTGTGTGTGTGTGTTCACTTTGGCCAGGAATGTCCCGGTGATGAAGATCTCCATGGCGGTGGTGATCAGCAGCTGTATGATGAGCAGGACGATGGCGGACGGACATTCCTCCGTGATGCAGCGATAGCCGTAACCGATGGTGGTCTGAGTCTCCAGCGAGAAGAGGAACGCTCCGGTCAGAGTCTGCATCTGCATCACACACACACTGTGGTTTGCTGGAGGATCGAACTCTGCGGAGGGAGAAACACACACACACACACACACACACACTGGGTTAAACAGGTTCATTCAGTATATAAAGTATACATGATGAGAGCATGCATGTGCACAGTGCTCTGCATATAGGAGTTCACGCCTCACACATCTCTCCTGTAAATTCATAGTGTTAATGGGAAGCTCTGCAATATTCTATTAGTGCATATACATTAGATTAGTCAGTACTGAAGCCAAATCCAAACACTAGCACAGCCACATTTATATGTTAAAGAAAAATATGAAATACACATTTAACAAAGAGGAAAAATCAAGAGAAGCAAAAACATTAAATTCTGTTTAAATTTTGTAGTTTGTACTTTATTTTTGCAATATTTTGCTGGAATTTAATTGTATTATCTTCCAATTTCTGGTGACTAAAGTATTGTTGTAATAAATATCATTTGTTTTGTTTAGGTTCCGCAAAATACACTGCCTATATTCACTGAGAAATGGAGGAACATGTTCATTTTTAAAACGGGCTGTACTCCATTATGCAGAGCACTCTGTATATACACAGTGGGTACAGAAAGTAATCAGGACTCCTTAATTTTTTCTCTTTGTTATATTGCAGCCAAAGTCATTTAAGTTAATTTCCCCTTTATTAATGTCCACACAGCAGCACACACTGACAGAAAAACAGAATTATTGACATTTTTGCAGATTTATTAAAACAGAAAAGCTGAATATGACATGCTCCTCAGTATTCAGAGCCTTTGCTGTGACACTCATATGTTTAACTCAGCTGCTGTCCATTTCTTCTGATCACCCTTGAGATGATTCTACACCTTCATTTAATCCTGTGTTTGATTACACTGACTGGACTTGATCAGGGCCGGAGCAAGCCCTCTCTGTTCTGCAGCACTAGATACGGATAAAACTGAGGGCGCGGGTGGTGAGGGTAGTGTCACGAACGCCGCCCTCTCTATCCTGCCACCCTAGACGCGGATAAAACTGAGGGCGCAGGGGGTGAGGGTAGTGTCGCGAACGCTGCCCTCTCTATTCTGTCCCCCTAGACGCGGATAAAACTGAGGGCGCGGGTGGTGAGGGTAGTGTCGCGGACGCCGCCCTCTCTATTCTGTCCCCCTAGACGCAGATAAAACTGAGGGCGCGGGTGGTGAGGGTAGTGTCGCGGACGCCGCCCTCTCTATTCTACTGCTCTAGACGCTGATATAACTGAGGGCGCAGGTGGTGAGGGTAGTGTCGCGGACGCCGCCCTCTCTATTCTGTCCCCCTAGACGCAGATAAAACTGAGGGCGCGGGTGGTGGGGGTAGTGTCGGGGACGCTGCCCTCTCTATTCTGTCCCCCTAGACGCAGATAAAACTGAGGGCGCGGGTGGTGGGGGTAGTGTCGTGGACGCTGCCCTCTCTATTCTGTCCCCCTAGACGCAGATAAAACTGAGGGCGCGGGTGGTGAGGGTAGTGTCGCGGACGCCGCCCTCTCTATTCTGCTGCTCTAGACGCTGATATAACTGAGGGCGCAGGTGGTGAGGGTAGTGTCGCGGACGCCGCCCTCTCTATTCTGTCCCCCTAGACGCAGATAAAACTGAGGGCGCGGGTGGTGGGGGTAGTGTCGCGGACGCCGCCCTCTCTATTCTGCTGCTCTAGACGCTGATATAACTGAGGGCGCAGGTGGTGAGGGTAGTGTCGCGGACGCCGCCCTCTCTATTCTGTCCCCCTAGACGCGGATAAAACTGAGGGCGCGGGAGGTGAGGGTAGTGTCTGGGACGCCACCCTCTCTATTCCACTGCCCTAGGCAGCTGCCTAGGTCGCCTCTAAGGATGCGCCGGCCCTGGACTTGATCAGTAAAGCCATGCAACTGTCTACTGTATATCAGAGCCGACAGCTCACAATGCATGTCAGAGCAGATGAGAATCATGAGGTCAGAGGAACTGCCTGAAGAGCTCAGAGACAGAACTGTGGCAAGGCACAGATCTGGCCAAGCTTACAAAAACAATTCTGCTGCACTTAAGCTTCCAAAGCACAGTGGCCTCCATAATCCTTAAATGGAAGACATTATGACCAGAACCAGGACTTAATTTGGGCCGGAATAAACTGGATGTGGATCCGGCACCTCTGAAATCTGAACCGGCATCTCATTTTACTGATCCCCTCCTCACACGCACACCCACCCCCTCTTCACTTTCTTACGCCACTCCCCAACCCTCTTCACTTCTGTTCGCAAAACCCCACTCTGCTCTACACTTACGTCCATGACACCCCCCTCATACCCCTACTCCCCATCACCCCAATCCACCACCCCTGCACTTTCATCTGCGACACCAAACCCCCCCCCCATACCCTCTTTTTGCGGCATCTCTCCCACCTCTGGTAACATCCTGGATCCGTCACCCCGATCTGTTCCAGGACCTTGCGATTTACAAATTAAGCACTGACCAGAGCCATTCTTAGGGCTGGCCGTCCGGCAAAACTGAGCTATCAGGCAAGAAGAGCCTTTGTGAAAAGAACCCAAAGATGACTGTGGCTGAGCTCCAGAGATGCAGTCAGAGTATGGGAAAAAGTTGGAGAAAGTCAACCATCACTGCAGCCCTCCACCAGTCGGGCCCTATGACAGAGTAGCCCAACGGCAGCCTCTGTTTGCGTAAAAGCTCAGATGGAGTTTGTTAAAATGGCGAGAAATAAGGTTTTCTGGTCTGATGAGATCAAGATAGAACTCTTTGGCCTTAATTTTAAGCGGTATGTGTGGAGAAACTCAGGCACCGCCCATCACCTGTCCAGTACAGTCCCAACAGTGAAGCATGGTGGTGGCAGCATCATGCTGTGGGGGTGTTTTTCAGCTGCAGGGACAGGACGACTGGTTGCAGTCGAGGGAAAGATGAATGCGAAGTACAGGGATAACCTGGATGAAAATCTCCAGAGTGCTCTGGACCTCAGACTGGGTCGAAGCTTTACCTGCCAACGAGACAATGACCCTAAGCACACAGCTAAAATAATGAAGAAGTGACTGTTCTTGAATGGCCCAGCCAGAGCCCTGACTTAAACTCAATTGAACATCTCTGGAGACACCTAAAAATGGCTGTCCACCAACGTTTACCATCTAACCTGACAGAACTGGAGAGGATCTGCACGGAGGAATGGCAGAGGATGGCCAAATCCAGCTGTGAAATACTTGTTGCATCTTTCCCGAAAAGACTCACGACTGTATTAATCCAGGGGGCTTCTGCTAAACACTGAGCAAAGGGTCTGAATACTGAGGAGCATGTGATATTTCACCTTTTCTTTTTTAACAAATCTGCAAAATGTCAACAGTTCTGTGTGTTTTTCTGTCAATATGGGCTGCTGTGTGTTCAACAATGAGGGGAAAACATGAACTATTTTAGCAAATGCAATATAACAGAGAGTGAAACATTAAAGGGGGTCTGAATACTTTCTTTACCCACTGTGTGTATACCCACATAGCAAAATTTCTCTGGCCCAGATCTGGCCCACACAATCAGCTTTTGCTTAGCACACATGCTGCAGTGAATTACGGTACATGACTGGACCAAGTCTGGCTTCCAAACATGGACCATATCTGGGCCAAGTCTCAGCCAGGTTTATAATAACTGGGCCAGATATGTTGGTGTTTCACGACTGCAAAGAATTTAATAAACCCGTGAAGCATTTCGATTTATGGCCACACTTTTTCTCGAAGCAACCTGATTGGTAGAAATTTCTCTTTTCACAAAATTAATTTGAATGTATTTTAAGAGTGGGTCATTATGGACCAAACTGAAGTGGCCCACTTATACATTTTAACATCTGGGCCAAATACTACATTTGATATCTGGCCCAAGTCTTATGTGCCACCTTAAAGACGGTGCTACCTCTGCCGCCAAACCTGGGCCATATTTGGCCCACATACTGTACGCCAGTGCCAGAAGAATATATATATATATATAGTTGAAGTCAGAATTATTAGCCTCCTTTTGATTATTATTAATTTTTAAATATTTCCCAAATGATGTTTGACAGAGCAAAGAAATGTTCACAGTATGTCTGATAATATTTTTTCTTCTAGAAAAAAAGTCTTATTTGTTTTATTTTGGCTAGAATAAAAGCAGTTTTGAATTTTTTAAAAACTGTTTTTGGGACAATTATTAGCCCCTTTAAGCTAATTTTTTTTTCGATAGTCTACAGAACAAACCATTGTTATAGAATAACTTGCCTAATTACCCTAACCTGCCTAGTTACCCTAATTACCCTAGTGAAGCCTTTAAATGTCACTTTAAGCTGTATAGAAGTGTCTTGAAGAATATCTAGTCTAATATTATTTACTGTCATCATGACAAAGAGAAAATAAATCAGTTATTAGAAATAGGTTTTTAAATCTATTATGCTTAGAAATGTGCTGAAACAATCTTCCCAGAACAGAACAGAAATTGGGGAAAAAAATAAACAGGGGGGCTAATAATTCTGACTTCAACTTTATATATATGAAAGCAGAGGTTTACATACACTTTAAAAAAAGGAACATAACCCTGTTTAAAGAATGTCTGATGGTAAATCACACTAAAGGTTTACTGTTTCAGTTCTGTTAGGATTACCTAAATGATTTACATTTGCTAAATGCCAGAATAATGAGAGAGTTATTTATTAATTTCTAGACAGAGAAAAGTTTACACACATTTCCTTGGTGTTTTTTAGCTTTGCTTTTAAACTGTATAACTTTGGTCAGATGTTTTGGGTCTCCTTCCACAAGCTTCTCACAATAGTTTGCAGGAGTTTTGGCCCATTCCTCCTGCAGAATTGCTGTAACTGAGTCAGATTTGTAGGCTGTCTTGCTCGCACAAGCTTTTTCAACTCTGCCCACAAATGTTCTATAGGATTGAGATCAGGGCTTTGTGATGGCCACTCCAAAACATTCTCTCTGTTGTCCTTAAAGCACATTTTCACTAGTTTGGCAGTGTGTTTAGGGTCATGGTCTGTTTGGAAGAGTCATTTGTGGCCAGGTTGTAATGTCCTGGCTGATGTGTTGAGATGTTGCTTCAGTATTTCTCCATAATGTTCTGTCTTCATGATGCCATCTATGCTGTGAAGTGGACCAGTCCCTCCTGCAGCAGAACAGCCCCAAAACATGATGCTGCCGCCCCCATACTGCACAGTTGGGATGGTGTTCTTGGCTTGTGCACTTTCCCCTTTGTCCTCCAAATGTAACACTGCTCATTATGGCCAAACAGTTCAATCTCAACTCCATCAGAGCACAGGACATGTCTCCACACATCAGTCTGTTCCCAGTTCTACAGTTGTGCCTCACATTAACTCAAATGTTGTCAATCAGCCAATCAGAAACCTCCAAAACCCTGACATCATCATCTGAGCTTTACCAGAGGCAGAATAATCTTATTGTGTGTAAACTTGACTTTCAACAAGAGTTATAATAATTATATTTTAATTTAAACAAAATTAAGCAACACAAACCGAAAGTCTAATTAAAATGTTAAAATTGTAAACATTAGAAACTAATTCAGTACAATGTCACTGAAGAATAATTCACTCTAATATGAACTGAGAAATGAAGAATAATCTCTTCTGTTACCGAGCAGGTCTCCATGCACCAGCGCCAGCAGGTACCAGAGCAGGCCGAAGGTGAACCAGGTGCCCACAAAGGTGGCGCTGAACAGAACCAGCTTGTATCTCCACTGCATGTCCACAACGGTCGTCCAGGGGTCGCGCAGGTACAGAGCACTGAGCCCACTCACATGCTCAATGCGCACGTTGCTCCGCCCATCCTTGGTTAGGATCCGCCTCTTGCGCGCCACATGACTGCTATGCCCTGCCCCCCCGAGCAGAGGCTTCAGCAAGTCTGTCTGTGTCTGGGAGTGGCAGACCTTCTGAGGGGCGGGGCCATGATGAGGGGGGGGTGTGGCCGAGGTCATCTAGGGAAGAAAGACAGTGTGAGTGATGCCCATATTTGGTCACATAAATGCATTTAATGTAAGGGGTAATGCATATTTAGGAGAAGGGGGTGTGGCTGAGGTCATCTAGAGAAGGAAGACAATGTGAGGGATGCCCATATTTGGTGACATAAACACATTTAATGTAAGGGTATTGTATATTTAGGAGAAGGGGGTGTGGCCGAGGTCATCTAGAAAATGAGGACAGTGTAAGGGATGCCCATATATGGTCACATAAATGCACTTAATATAAGGGGTATTGCATATTTAAAAGGTGGGGGTGTGGCCGAGGTCATCCAGAGATGGAAGACAGTTTGAGGGATGCCCATATATGGTCACATAAACACATTTAATGTAAATAAGGCATAATTTATATTTATATGACATCCAGCTTATGTGGCGGCTTGTTTTACTCAATTAGTCTCAAATATTTTTCTCTTTTTAAACCAAATATTAAACTATTTAAAAACATTTTATATAATTTAATATGAAATATGCAAAAAAAAAACTCTTATTTTTTTAAATACATGCCAAAGCAGCATGTTTTATTTACATAGTTTAATTCACTTTTGTTAATTTTAATTGATTAATTTATAAAGCACTTTTTAAAATGAGCAGAGGTTTAGCCAGAGTATAGTAAAGAGCTATTATTTAGTTTAATTTTAATTTTGCTGTATTAAAATAACTAAAACTAAACTTTATAAATGGTGGGTTGTTGTGTTTACCTATTGTTGTGTTGTTAATTTTTTCAATTCATTTTAAATATTTTTTCAACTCAACAGCTGAGTTTGTCTGTATTTGACCCGACATTGGGTTAATAAAACAACATATATATATATATATACAGAGAAATTGAATAAACAAACTATGATGCATTAAAAACATAATTTAATAATAATAATAATTTAATGTAACTTTTACTGAAATGAAAATAATTATATATTCATTCATTTATTACACTTTATTCATAATTATATTGTGTTTAAAATTTGCTTAAAAATTAATCAAACTTTTTCAAAAATTGTAAATATAATTAGATGTATATTATATATGAAATATCTTCTGTTGTGTTCATAAAGTCATTCATGTTTGGAACTGCTTAAGTAAGAGATTACATAGTCAGTAAATGTTTATTTTAGCCTGAACTGTCTCTTTAATTACATAATTAATCAGGATGGAAATCTTTTTTAATGCACATTTGGATGACTTGAGCTCATTCAGAGTCTTGTTTTTCCCTCTACAGTAGTTTAGTGGTGTATATTTCAGTCTGCAGGGACGCAGGAGGCTGTTCAATACACTTTATCTGCTTAATCAGGAGTAGAGAGTGGATTATTTTACACGAGAGAGACTTTTAACCAACAATGAGAGGAAAGAGACTTAAATGAGGGCATGTGAAGAGACTCCAGCCTGTCCGTTTGGCAGCGTTTGGAGGAATGTTAACTCTTTATCAAAGAAAAAAGCTCTTCCTCTCACTGTAATGTCAGTCTTCTTCTCAGTTTAATCATAATGTGTGGTTCTTAAGGAAACAGTGCACCCAAAATAAAAATTGTGAGATTCTTAAAGGGGCAGTGCACCCAAAACAATAACTATATTGTTTAGTTCTTAAAGGGACAGCGCATCCAAAAATAAGCCGGTTGTTCTTAAAGGGACAGTGCACCCACAAATACACATATTGTTCTTAAAGTGACAGTGCACCCAAAAATAAAAATATGTGGTTCTTAAAGAGACAGTGCACCTCAAAAATAAAAATATCTGGTTCTTAAAAAGACAGTGCACCTCAAAAATAAAAATATCTGGTTCTTAAAACGACAGTGCACCTCAAAAATATAAATATCTGGTTCTTAAAACGACAGTGCACCTCAAAAATATAAATATCTGGTTCTTAGTGACAGTGCACCCAATACAAAATTGTGTGGTTCTTAAAGAGACAGCGCAGCCAAAAATAAAAATGTGTCATTCTTAAAGAGACAGTGCACTCAAAAATAAACGTGTTGTTCTTAAAGGGTCAGGGCACCCACAAGTAAATCTGTTGTTTTTAAAGCAACAGTACACCCAAAATAAAAATATGTGGTTCCTAGTGGGACAGTGCACCCAAAAAAATAACAATGTTTGGTTCTTAAAGAGATAATGCAACCAAAAATAAATGTTTTTCTTAAAGAGACAGTACACCCAAAATAAAAACGTGTGGTTCTTAAAGAGACAGTGCACCTCAAAAAATAATGCATGGTTCTTATAGAGACAGCACAACCCAAAATAAAAACGTGTGGTTCTTAAAGAGACAGTGCACCCAAAAATAAGTGTGTTGTTCTTAAAGAGACAGTGCACCTCAAAAAAATAATGTATGGTTTTTAAAGAGACAGAACAACCAAAAATAAAAATGTGTGGTTCTTAAAGAGACAGCACACCCAAAAATAAATGTGTTGTTCTTAAAGAGACAGTGCACCTCAAAAAAATAATGTATGGTTCTTAAAGAGACAGCACACCCAAAAATAAATGTGTTGTTCTTAAAGGGACAGTTCAGCCAAAATAAGCATCAGCCTTAAGCAGGAGGGGTGCTAGAGGCATGTGGGTATGTTTTCTGCGCCCATGCGTTAGTTTGTTTTTGATTAAACTACATTGCTTTAAGCAGTGTTGGTTTGGTTGCACATAGAGAATAAACTCTTTATATAGCTGAAAAACGTCTTTAAAAAACACTTGCGTGGATGATTTTTCTGCACGAGAAAATGGATCTGTAGCATGAGAGCATGAGAATACTGTCCATCGAGTGACTCTCACGCCAAGTGCGAAAGAGTTGGCAGCCCTGCTGTCATCCTTTCTCAACACATCTATCTTTAATATCTATAAACATCTATAATTAATATGATGTTTAAAAAGATAAAGAGAAACAAATTAATAAAATACGCAACTGCTCATACATTTATAGATACTCTGTGTGTGTGCGTGCATGCGTGTGTGTGTGTATATGTATATACAGTGGAAGTCAGAATTATTCCCCCCCTTTGAATTTGTTTTTCTTTTATAAATATTTCCCAAATGATGTTGAACAGATTCAGGAAATGTTCACAGTATGTCTGATAATATTTTTTCTTCTAGAGAAAGTCTGATTTGTTTTATTTCTGCTAGAATAAAAGCAGTTTTTAATTTTTTAAACACCATTTTAAGCTCAATATTATTAGCCCCCTTCAGCAATATTTTTTTTAGATAGTCTACAGAACAAACCATCATTATAGAATAACTTGCCTAATTACCCTAACCTGCCTAGTTACCCTAATTACCCTAGTGAAGCCTTTAAATGTCACTTTAAGCTGTATAGAAGTGTCTTGAAGAATATCTAGTCTAATATTATTTACTGTCATCATGACAAAGAGAAAATAAATCAGTTATTAGAGATGAGTTATTAACACTATTATGATTAGAAATGTGCTCTCTGTTAAACAGAAATTGGGGAAAAAATAAACAGGAGGGCGAATAATTCTGACTTCAACATCAACCATACACACTCATTCACACACACTCATACATTATGGACAATTTAGCGTACCCAATTACCCTATAGTGCATGTGTTTGGACTGTAGGGGAAACCGGAGCACCCGGAGGAAACCCACGCCAACACAAGGAGAACATGCAAACTCCACACAGAAAGGCCAACTGACCCAGCCAGAACTCGAACCAGCGACCTTCTTACTGTGAGATGACAGGGCTAACCACTGAGCCACCGTGTCCACCCCCCCCAAACAGAAAATATTTTATTATTTTTTGAATTATATTGAATTATATTTTGACTAGAAATGAGAAATTTGGCCTCGTTAAGCAACAAATATTTGGGAAATATTTTTTTAAAAGATTTAAAATTTCACAGAAGGCATATCTTTTTGGCTTTTTATTTATTTAATCTCTCTCTCTTCCTGTGTGTGTGTGTGTGTGTGTGTGTGTGTGTGTGTGTGTGTGTGTCTGTGTGTGTGTGTGTCTGTGTGTGTGTCTTTTTCTCTCTCTCTCTCTCTCTCTCTGTCAAATACAATGGCTGGTATTGTTGAATCTCTAACCAACAGGACAATGCAAACCACTGACAAACATAGCTGTGTGTGTGTATACGTGTGTGTGTGTGTGTGTGTGTGTATGTGTGTGTGTGTGTGTGTGTGTGTGGCACAATGGCAGCTCGTTAGTATTCCAAAGTGGATAACGATCCCCCCTCCGCAAATCTCAGACCTCACTTTACAAACTCACACTTCTCCTCTTTCCGCTTTGCAGGACGCTTTTAGAAAACGCCAAACTCCACGCTTATTAATGTCGAAACACACTGCACTTGAGTTTGTCCTGCAGAAGCTGAGACACACTGCTGACATGTGCTTTATAAAATGCATTCAAATCAGCCACTACTACTGCAACTTTTAATGTGTTTAGGATATAATAATAATAATAATGATTAATAAATAATAAAGTAATAATTAAATTAGAGGTTTGCGCATTATAGTTGCATTAATTGAGCATTATATAGTTCACTCTGTAGAAAAATGCTGGGTTGTTTGAACCAAATGTTAAATCAAAATATGAACAAACTCGCCTGTTGGTGTTTTTTTTTTTTTTTTTTTAATGATACTTTTTACTAATAATACTAATACTTTACACAATGCTTGAGTTTGTCTATATTTGACCCAACATTGGGTTAAAACAAGCCAGCGTTTTTATATAGACTATTTAATGCACAATTGATGCATTTTAATTAATGCATTTTTATTACTTTATTATTTATGAAACATTATTATTATTATTACTATTATTATTATTATTATATAATAAACACATTAAAAGTGGATTTTAATGCATGTTATTAAACACATTTCAGCAGTGGGTCTCAGCTTCTGCAAGAAAAACACAAGTGCTGTGTGTCTCAATGTTCACAGTAATGCTCTATAGTGTATTTAGAGTGCAGTAACACTTATTAAAATAAATATCTAATAAAGAAAAAACAATCCTGCACACATAATAATAAAAAATTACATTGAAACCATCAAAATAACTGTCCAGAAATGCATACTGTATCTTCAGAGTAAAGCATGTTTTGAAATGTGCTCTCTATTTATAAGCTAGAATGTTTGCAGATCAGTAAAAGTGTGAATATGTCATTGATAGAGCTCTGAAAGCTTATTAAAACATGCATTAAATTCATATTTTGCATATGCATAAATCACTACACAGATACTGCAATGTTTAAAATGTCTTGGATTATTAATCTGAAACTGCTGCAACTGATTTGGAGAGCTGTTTTTGCATGAGTGTGTGTGAAGTCTTACCTTGTCCGTGAGTGTGTGAGCGAGTGTGGTAAACAGCTGCTCTACATGCTGAGGCTCACACTGACAGTAAATGCGGGCTTTAATGAACAGAAGGTGTTCAGAGCGACTGAAGCTCGCCAGCAAATGACAGGCTTTTATAAACTGCCCTCTCTCTCTCTCTCTCTCTCTCACTTTCTGCCTCTCATTCTTTCTGTCTTCCGCTCACTCTTTCTTTCTCTATCTCACTCTTTTTATTCTCAATTTCATTCACTTTATTGGCATGACATACTTCGGTACCTGATGCCAAAGCGTTGGACATAGCAGGATAAAAAAAGATTTTAATTTAGGGTGCATGTCCAAGAGGTCCTAAAAAGCCTTAAAATGTCTTAAATTTCCAATACATTTGCCTTTAAAAAGTCACTTAAATATTTAATTGTAGGTCTTAAATCATGTTAAATAGGTTTTAATTGACCTAAATGTCCAAGTAAAGCTATGCCAATCACCAATAATAAATCTCCAAAATATAACCCATCTCATATAAATACAGTTGGAGTCAGAATTATTCGCCCCCTTTGAAGTTGTTTTTCTTTTTTAAATATTTCCCAAATGATGTTGAACAGATTCAGGAAATGTTTACAGTATGTCTGATAATATTTTTTCTTCTGGAGAAAGTCTTATTTGTTTTATTTCGGCTAGAATGAAAGCAGTTTTTAATTTTTAAAACACCATTTTAAGGTCAAAATTATCCCCTTTAAGCTATATACTGTCTCAATAGTTTACAGAACAAACCATCGTTATACAATAACTTGCCTAATTACCCTAACCTGCCTAGTTACCCTAATTACCCTAGTGAAGCCTTTAAATGTCACTTTAAGCTGTATAGAAGTGTCTTGAAGAATATCTAGTCTAATATTATTTACTGTCATCATGACAAAGAGAAAATAAATCAGTTATTAGAGATGAGTTATTAACACTATTATGTGCAGAAATGTGATGAAAAAATCTGCTCTCTGTTAAACAGAAATTGGTAAAAAAATAAACAGGGGGGCGAATAATTCTGACTACAGTTGTATATATATATATATTTATGTATGTATATATTTGTTTTGATTGCAATGAGATTCACAACAGCTGTTTACATGTTTACAGCTAATTCTCCTAATGAAATTCCCTGAGCAGGGAAAAGAAACTAAAGCAACTCATCCCTTTACATGATCATCCATCAATTCAAAAACTATTTACCGAAGTAACTGGGCCATTAGAAAAAAAATCCTGAGTGATTAGCCCTGTATAAGTCCAAAATTTCATTCATAATGGTATTAAATGGGTCTTAAAAAGTCTAAAAATTTTACTTAAAGAATCCTGCATAAACCCTGTAATTAAATTATATTAAAAATAGCAATGTAAAAATATAATAATCTGATTTTTCTTAATCTCACTTTTAATTTAATTCACTTTCTTTGCATGACATACTTTGGCAAATGTTGCCAAAACGTTTACCATCCGCTTGTTAAGAGTGACGTCATGCGAAGTTTGACGCTCTGTCAAACTGTATGGGGAAACTCATCAAATGGTAATAATACACATTTACAAAGTGATGTAATACTTTCGAAAATCACGATCGCAATATATATATATATATATTTATACCTAATATATGATGGCCAGAGAGTGACTATTTTTATTATAAATTGTTAAAATTTTGATGTCTGTGATGCAGCAAGAGCAGATACTGATGTGTACTCTATGATTTTATATTAAATTCACTTTAAAGTGTGATATGACTAAAAAAGGGGCCATAAATGAATATTTTCTCAATTCAAATGAGTAGAAGAAACTGTATTCCATGCGTCACCAATGCTTCATGACTTAAGAAGCGCATAGCAGAATACAAATCAAATAAATAGTTGAATATGTAAATAGCAATGTAAAATATTCATTTTAAAACTGCAAACAGAATTTAAAGTAAGTTACTACAAAAAGTAAAAATCTAATTAGGGTGACAGAGCTTCTCATCTTATCTCTAAGGGTACACGCTGTTACCCTACGATTTCAGCCGCTTGTATCTCAGATCTTAAGAAAGTAATGATCATAGGTGAGAGTAGGAACGAAGATTGACCAGTCACACAGGAGCTTTGCCTTTCGGCTCCTTCTTTACCACAATGGAGTGGTACATCGACCGCAGTACTGCTGCACTGATCCGCCTGTCAATCTCACGCTCCATCCCTCATTCCTGAACTAAACCCCAAGATACTTGAACTCTTTCACCTGGGGTGAAGACTTTCCCCCAACATGAAGATGGCAAACCACCCTTTTTTCCAGTGGAGCATCATGGACTTGGACTTGGAGGTCAGGCCCGTGCAGAGACCTTCCAAGGGGCAAGAGACCTTCCAAGGGGGTGATGTCGAGAATGACATGAATTGGTCGGGGGGGGGGGTTCTTGGGAACGAATGGGGTTGATGTCACGCGCGAACTGGGGACTTGGGGCTGGGGGGTGGTGAGTGGTGGTGCATGCGAACTGAAAAGTGTGTGTGTGTGGGGTGGGGGGGGGGGGTGTTGGGGGGTTTGAATGGGGGGTGATTGGGTTGGGTCGGTTTGCTGGGGCACTTCAGATCATTTTGGAAGGGCACTTTCTATCCAGGACTAAAAAGGGCATGTGCACTGCACAGGTTGAGCCCTATGGTGCTGATTCTCATCCCAGCCACATCAGACTCAGCAGACAACAGTGCAGTCAATGCTGGAGGTCCAAGTCTGAGGACACCGACAGAACAACCTCATCTGTGAATAGCAGAGACGAAATCCTTTAGTTCTTGACCCAGACCCCCTGCTGATCAAGACCGTGCCTAAAAAATCTGTCCATAAATATAGTGAACAGAACTGGTGACAAAGAGCAGCCCTGCTTGAGTCAAACATGCACTGGAAACAAGTCTGACTTATCGCTGGCAATGTGAATCAAACTCCTGCTCTGTCCATACAGGGACCAGACAGCGCTTAACAGACCGCCTCTCACCCTATACTCCCAGAGGAACCACATAGGGACACAGTCCAATGCCTTCTTCAGTTCCATGAAACACATGTGGACTGGTTAGGCATACTCCCTTGAACCATCCTGGTGAGGGAATACAGCTGCTCCAGCGTTCTGAAATCTGTATGGTTCCTCCTGAATTCGGGTTCAACCATTGGCCGGATCCTCCTCTCCAGGACCCTGGCATGGACTCTTTCCAGGGAGGCTGAGGAGTGTGTGGGATCCACCTATAGTTGGAACACACCCTTCAGTTCCCCTTCTTTAAAATGGGAAGCACCACCCCAGTTTCCTAGTTCAGAGATGTAGAGATGTGTCAGCCCGGACAGCCCACAATATCCAGAGACAAGAGGTACATATGGTAGGTCTCATCCACTCAAAAGGTCATGATCTACATTCATTGAATAATTCCAATGGACGGTTTGCCAGAACTTCTTTGTGGCCGACTGGTAGTCTTCCTCCATTGTCCCAGGTCTAAGTTTTTGCTTCCGCAAACGGTCGGGCTGCAGTGCGCTTGTCCCATCAGCTGCCTCAGGAGTCCTATAAGCCAACCAAGCCTCCTTCAGCTTGACTGCATTCCCTACTTTCAGTGTCCGGTCTCCACAACAGCCACAGCTCCTCACAGCTGCATTAAAAATGGAGTCTGAGAACATGGACCACTCTGTCTCACTGTCTATAGTCTCCCGCAGGAACTGGTCAAAGCTCTTCCAGAGGTGAGAGTTGTAAATCCCTCTGTCATGTGGTTCAGTCAGATGTTCCCAGAGAACTCTCACAGTATGTTTGGACCTGCGGAGTGTATCCAGCCTCCTTCTCTGCCAGCGGATCCAATTCAACACCAGGTGTTGATCAGTGGACAGCTCTGCTTCTTTCTTTACCTGAGTGTCTAAGACATACTGTCAGAGATCAAATGATACAACCACAAAATCATCAACCTCAGGCCTAGTGTGTCCTGGTGCCATGTGCACTGATGGACACACTTATGCTTGAACATGGTGTTTGATATGGACAAACTGTGCACAGATGTCCAACAACAGAACACCACTCGGGTCCAGCTCAAGAAGGCCGTTCTTCCCAATCAAATCTCTCCACTGTTGTACCCAACATGAGCATTGAATTGCACAGTAGAACAACAGAGTCCTCAGTCGGAGCATCTTCCAGCACCCTATTAAGGACTTCAATAAGGTCAAGCACTGCACTGATGTTTGGTTCATGAGCACAACCTACAGAGAGAGACTGATCCCCGACCCAAGGGAGCAGAGAGGTGACCTGGTCATTCACTGGGGAAAACTCCAACACGTGATGGCTGAGTTGGGGAGCTATAAGCACACACCAACCCCACCGCCTCTCACTGTGGGGAACTTCAGAGAAGCTGAAGCTGAGTTCCAGAGCCCAAGCTGTACATGAGTTGAACCTCTAGGTGACATTCTGTTACACGGGGAGTGACACTAACAACTGTGGTTGGATCCACATGCAGGTTTGTTCAGTGGTCGGGCAAGCAAAGGTCAACACAGGTGCAAACAGATGTAGGCAAATCCAGAATCGTAGTCAATATAACTAGCAAGAGGTCGAAAGGCAGGCGGCAGGCAGGGATAGCTATATAAACAAGGCTAGGGTCAAAACACTGGAAATTAAGGCTAGGAAAATGTGTTGTAATGTCACTGTGGCAGATAACATGACTCGACAATAGGAGTGAGTGTGTTGCTTAAATAGTGTGTGCAATCAGTCTCTGACAATCCTTAGGTGGTGCGAGTGTAATCAGTCTAGATGAGGAAGCATGTGTGAGTGTGAGCGGAGTGCATGTATGAAAATGTAGTCCAGAAATAGCAGATTTGTAGTCCATGGTTATAGAGAGTAAAATCTCTATAAGATCGCTGGTTATCATGACACATTCCATGTCCCAGGAGCCAGTTTCTGGCCATCAGGGGCTTACACATGAGTAGGCCCACACGGAATCTGCGCACGCAGATTTCTGCAGATTTTTAGACCATTATTAATTCTGTTTATTTGCTTGAGTAAATGTGTAAATCTGAATTTATTCAGTTTTTATTCAGTAATTTATTGCTTTTTATTTAATATATTAAGGTTTTAGTTATGATACTCCCAAA